TGGTGACTTCAGCTCCTTGCTGGGGTCCACTGCTCCAACCCTTTGTTTCCCCCAGTGCTGCAGCCCAGTGCCTGCTCTTTATGATCCTTTAGTGCAGGACCCAGGACTCTGCTCCTCCCTGCGAAGTGTATTCAACTGTCACCATTGTCCCCACAGATCCATTAACTCAGTTGCTCCAAACTCCTAATGCCAAAAGCGGCCACCCCCTCCATCTCCCTCTCCCACTTCCTCTCCCCTCCCTCTCCCCCCCTTCCCCATCTCCCCCCAAGTCCACCAATCTCACTCTCTTGAGCTCCCTTCCCCTACCCCTGCCTTTGGTGGCAGAAAAGGAAAGACACACCATAAATACATGAAATTAGTGACTTACATAACTGAGGTGAACACAGTCATGCATCCTGGATCTATATCTATACCTACCAACCTTTCTTCTCTCCCATTTATTGCACATGCACCAAGCTAGGTGCTTTATGTGTTTTCTTCACAATGTCCTCAAGGTAAATAATTCTGTCTCTGTCAGGGGGCTGAAAGGTAAGTCACCTGTCCAGGCCACTCAGCTACAGAGAGGTGGTCCCTAGATTAGAACACAACTCTGTCTGAACCCAAAGACTGTACTCTCCTGCTTCCAAAATCATGGTTGAAATTTTATACCATAAGGGGCAACCAATAGATGTAATTTCTACCATCGTTACAGAAAGCTGAAATAGATGGAGATCTGTCATTATAATACTCAAACTTAATTTGGGGCAATAATTCCACGGTCTGTTTAAGTGGAATTTTTTCTAAGCTACCCCAAAATACAACCAATCAGGGGTCATCTTCTTTTCTTCTTTTCTCTCATGGGTGGAGAGGGCTCTTAGAGCTGGCAAATAGGTCTAAAGTGGGATAACCAGAGAGTAAAGTGCCTTGCATGTTTGAATGTCCCTGTGAGCTAGTCAACACACACTTATTAGTATCTTCCATGGGAAAGAAAAGTGGACCAAGCCACTCCCTGTCTTAGGAGACTTCACCCTACCTGAAGAGTCAAGGGATAAAATGGCAAAGTAGAAAACATGATAAGAAGAAGGCAAATGCGCCAAGTGCAACCCATGGATCACTAATGGTCAGCTTCAAGGGAAGGAAAACGTTGTGAGATGTGGTGGTTGGGGGAGGCTTCCTGGAGGAGATGGGACTTAAGCGGACATTTTGAAGGATGAGTTTAGGGAGGTGAGAAATGTTCCACACACAGTCTCACAAACGTAGAACCAGAAGGAAGGGTGCCCATGAGGACAGACTCTCGTTTTGTAGACAAGCTAGAAAACTGGAGTGGTTGGGTTAAGAGAAGAGACCAGGAGGGGGTGGGAGCCGGAGAGGCCACCTGGGCTTCAGGAAACAGGAGACTTGGGCTGTTATGTTGATTTGGTAGAAGACACGGTTGGAGAGTTGGGACCAAATAACAGATGGCCAGGATGTCATGTGAATTGCACTCCGTGGGTAATGAGGGCCCACGTAGTAGGGATTCTCAGGTCAGAAATGCTTTGATGGAAGCAGAGTTCTAGGAAGCTCAGTCTGCAGGGGTGGACAGAAGAGGGAAATGGAGGCAAGCGGACCCACTAGGAGGCTGTCGTAATGACCCACATGTGACGCGATCCATCTGGAGTGGTGGCTGCAGGCTAGATGTGAGAGATGTTCTAAAGGAAGGACTCACAGAATTTGATGACACATTAGCTATGGGGGTGAGGAGGATATTAGAGAGGGAAAAAAAAGCTAACAGGCTAATTTTCCTCCTTCCCAACATATTGAGATAGAATTGAAAATACTTTAAATAGGAAACACATTTCAGAACAAATTTTTTCCAAAAATATCTTCTTTCAAATGCTCCCCCTCCCCCCCAAGGATCTAACCTAAAGTAAAGGTAAATTTACCATATGACCATAGAATTAATTTCATACATAAGCTTCTTTTCCCTCAAAGTCAATAATGATGATAAAAATAATAATCTATTTAGAGTCTGCGCCTTAAACATTTTAATCCCCTTAAACGTACTCCACGCTCTCTACACAAAAATATTGTACAAGGAAAAAAGAACCAGATGTCCTGACCTGACCCACTGGTTGGCCTCATCCACATGGCAATAGTTGGAGAAAGCTCAATACTGAGTGTCACAAATCTTGCTTTATGGATTCGTAAAGAGTAAACCATTTTAAATCTAAAATACAAAAGACTGCAACCCCCTATGCATTCCCACATGGTTATACAGTCAGGAAAGGAAATGCAAAGTGTCACCCTTGACACTTGTCTCTACTATTAACTACCACAATGGAAAGGACCACAACAGTCTGCCCGAAGCCATATAAATTTCCTTAGGAGGAAACAGAGAAGAGCCCCCTTAATTCTTTGATGAAGGTTCCCACTCATAAGCTAGCACGAGTTCAATGAATATTTGGATTCATGTATTTTAGTTTTCCACTCTGCCATAAAAGTGGATTTTGCAACTTACTGAATCGAGCTTTCAGATGGCTTTTCGCCTCTGAGATAGCTCACTGCGTGCCCAGATAGCAGGACGCATCCACAGTGCAAATGGAGATCTGCACTCCCGGTTATTTTGCCCTTCACCCGGAGGACCAGCCTCGGCACTCAAACACCTTTCCAGCTGTTGGGATACTGATGGGAACTTCATGTGTGTTACCAGCTCAAGTGCTGTCAGGAAGAAACCAAATGTCAAACGGAGGTATGTAGAAGTCACCATAAATACGTCTCTGAATGTTTACCATCTGGAACCGTGGATTTAGATTTTGACAAGCAACTGGGATTGCCCTGTGGGCACTGTCTTTTAAGCAGAGCCTTTTAGTTGTGCTAAGTAACTTCATATTACTTTAGCCTTGCAGGGGGAGGGATGACACACCCCTTTGCCTTCTCAAGGTGTGAATTTATTATTTCTCAACCTTTCCTTTTTTGGCTCCATCCTGCCTAATCCTGCATACAGTGGATTTTGCGGGGGTTGGGGGTGGGGGGTGGGGAGGGGGCTGGAATTCCCCCAGATTGTCAAAATCCTGGGCAGGCAGCCTGGTGGTCAGTCTGCAACATGAATGACATCTGCTGTGGGGCTCCCACTGCTAAACGGAGCTTGGCTTTGTTAGATGCCATCACACCGCATCTCCGTCCTGTGAGGAGAAACTTTACTTTCTTCCGAAATACTTCTGTGAGAGTGAAACATGGCATGGGTGGTCAGCACTGTACCTGCTACCTGCTGTGCTTGGAGTCCCAATCCTAACAAAACCCGGGATATGAGTTTGCCTTTCTGTCTTTATTTTTTAAGCCCCAGTTCCATTGTAAAGCCATAATGGAATGACTGGAATTCCAGAAGACTTCAGCTTACGAACTTAGTCCTATTTGGGTTATGTAATATTGGGAATCGGATAATACTCGGACATAATAACTGCCTGGTTATTTATGAGGAGACTTTCTCATCGAAGGCTTTGAGACTATAACCAGAGAACACTGTGAATTGCAGCTAAACACCATACTGAAATATTGTTTTAATCATAACTTTTTAAAGAGAAGATGAAAAGATTTCAACTGTCTGGCTGCAAGAAAAAATGTATACTACAAGTGGAAACATAATTTTACAGGCATCGTTAGGCAGTTGAATACAAAATATACAAAGCTCTAGCCATAAATCCTGTTGTTCAGCCTATTAAACAGCTCCTATTTCAGAATAGCTTCTACACAGTTTTATTCATTGAATTTCTCACCTGCAAAGGGTAAGGACAGTGTTGGGTTTCTCTACCAAATGTAAGAGTCCAGTAGGAGCAAGAAATCCCGAGCACCACAGGTATAGGAACATGGGTGTAGGAGGCAAGTCTGTCAGGGGGCCAAAGAAGTAACTCACTGACTCACCCAGCTCGACCAAAAATTTGAAAAATGAAGATTTTGGTTTTTGATCCCTGTAAAAACAAGGCATCAGTTTGAAAGGCCTTCTTTGTATCACAAATTAAATGTAGTATATGCGCCCCATTGTTACATTCAGTTCAATGTAATTTTGGTGGGTGCTTTTGGCAGAGTGGTTACGTTACCAGCTACTCGCATATATGATGACAACTCATTTTATGTTGCTCAGGCACCGGATGACCATTAATTTCCAATGACTAATTTATAATTAAAAACTTTTAAAAAAAATGTTTGTTTATAACCCAGCCAGAAAATCTATTTCCATTTAATTAACACTTCAGATAGCCTGTTTAAAACCTACAAACGTAGTGACTTTAATGATCCATTACAGAGATGCTACTTTAGTTTTCAGTGACTTGTAAAACTTTCACAAACAGATCTGCAAATGAATTACCTCCATCAGCTCCCCTGCAGCTGCAAGAGGATAAACTCCGTTAAAGAGCATTTTCCTACTTCCTCCTTTTCTGCTTTTCTTCTAGCTTTAAGCATTTTTGTTTTAAAGCCGATCTATCAGCTGCTCAGAGGGCAGCTTCTTCTCTTAAGGAGTTTTCAATCTCCAAATTTTGCTAGAAACTCTTGGGTCCATCATAAATCAGACATAATGCACATTTAAAAAATCAGTTAAGAAAGCATTTCCATCTCTGCCAGCAACTCAGAAATAGACTCCTAAAAGGATCTTTATAAACTGAGTGGTAAAATGCAACAGTTTGGAAAGTGAATTTTAATTCTGAAAGCTAAAATAAAGGCTTTCTTGGCCTGATCCGTCCTTTTTGAACAATTTATAGCTCCTGTTTTGGGTAGGTAACGAGACTATTAAAGCGTAGAAATACCGCTTCAAAAGACATTTTCTTAGCTACACCTTCAAGAGCAAGGCATGAGGAGTGTTAGTTCTATAAAGACAGCCAAGCACCAAGCTATGTTCACTGTTATCTGTCCACCGTACAATAGCAGCATTGATAGGATTGCAACAACTGGCTTTGACAAGTGTGCTGCGCTAGCATTCCATTCAAAACTATGTTAAGAGAGAGAGGGAGAGAGAGAGAGAGAGAAGCGTTCAGTGTCTTTTACTTTACCTGAAAAAACTGCCTTTCTTGTGGCTGCAGAAAATGAATTCCTCCTCTTCTTCTTCCAAAAGCAAAGTAGTTTCCTTGCCTGCAGCTCTCACTTGGAGAAGACCACACAGCTCCAGCAAGGCAGGCTTCCTGCTCCTAATCCCCACTCGAATGTGATGACACACACTAACCCCAACCATCTGGTGAAACACGTCCTCAAGCACTCAGCACAGTGGTGTGTCAAGACGGGCTGCCCAATCCAATTGCTGGGGCTGGGTGTCTCTCACCGACTGGAGGCTGAGGGCAGGACTGAAACTGGAGGTCTGAGAACTCCCAGTCAAGTAACCTGAGATTTCAGAGAGAAAGGACGGCTATAAAGAGAGGAGAAGTGGGAGGTGCTAAAGAGAAGGTGGAGGGAATGAATTATTCTGGTGGCCAGTTGTGCGTTACTTTTCACAACTCCTTGTGCTCCCCGGGGACGACTGGGACCCTCTGAGGGATGCACAGAAACGCTAAAAATCTTTTCTTGCCAACCTGGGGCGGGGGGGGTGGGCAATCTTCCCAGCGAGGCACCCCCCACCCACACGCACACATACACATACACCACCACCACCCCCAGGAGATAAAAGATTCATCCTGACATACTGATAACGTGTTAATGTAGGAGTAGTTTGCACTGAAATGTGACATCTACATTGGGAGATCTAAACTCCTACCTTCCTTTGATTAGATCATGGCTGCCTCCAACATTCCAGGAAGAAAGGCGGTGGGGGCACAGCTAAGAGCAGAAACTTGTCTATTCCCACATACAGCTCTTCACTGTTTGCCACAGGCTGAACTTCAGAAATAGTCAATGAAAATCATTTTAGTTTCTACTCATGTAAAATAGCACACACTCCCACAGATAAAGGTGGCTTTTTTAATCACTTGCTGCTTTCACAGACATCTCTTTGTAACAGCACTTGGTACCAGAGGGCTGCACTCTGTCATTGATTATTTTTATTGGCTTCTAGTTAATTGCACTTATAATGTCCATATAGCTCAAACAGCTCATTAACAATTTTGCTTTGAAATGTTTTCAATTTTTCGTCATTTTAATACCTCCTTCTTATGTGCATTTCTTTCTTTTTCTTTCTTTCCTTTTTTTCTTTCTTGAGTTCTCTGAACTGTTTTCCAGAACTAATTACTTTGAGAGCAGTCTGAACCAGAAAATGGCTATACTTGTTACAATGTTTTAAGGAGATATCTGGAAATAAATTAATTGCTACAAATCTCAGCACTTCAAAAATGCCATCGGACTTCTAAGGAATTTCGATAATCTGAAAAGGAAAATAGGAATTTGAAATATTATCAACTCCCTGACAGCGTCTGTGGGGAGCCAACATTTTAAATATTGCACCTTTCGAATTTCTTTGAACTGGGATGGGGAGCGCTGGCAGAAAAACCCAAAAAAACTTTAAATTTATCCCAAACATTAAAATCTAGACTACAAATGCGTATCTCATGTTTGGAGCGGCAGTATCACAAAGAGAATTATTTCAGTACCTAGCAAAATTGACTTGACTAGCTTGTTTTTTTTTTTTAGGAATTTTTATGTGCTATAATATTAAGATACTTAAAAAGTTACTCTTGGTGCAATTTTTTGAAGTACAGAATTAAGAACTCTAATTTTCAGTGATTTTTTTTTCTATAACGGGGCTGCAGGGAAGATGAGGGAAAAAAAAAAAGAATTAGAGGTTGGAGTTCTGATTCATTTGCTTAATTTCTTCCCAGAAGTGATTATGAGGTGTGTGTTTCACAATATATACTATATGTACTAAATCACTACTCCTAATCAGCTAAATCCAGATACGTAATCGACACAGAAACCTTCAACAATGGCAAGTGGCACCACAGGGCTAAAACTTCCCTCGGGCACCATAAAAATTTTAATAGTGCCAATTATTGCGAGGCAATTTTTTTCATTAATTTTTTTTTGTTAATCCAACCAGACTCATGTCTGAAAATCTGGATTACCTCAACTGCATAGATTTTGAAGGCCCTCGAGACATTATTAAGGTGGTTTGCATTCTCTTAAACTGTAAATTGAGTTACAAAAGTAAAACCTCAGAAACTATAAAGGTGTTGAATCGTGTTTTATCAACCCTGTGCTTGTAACACACCTTCCATAAGACATTTCCCAAGTGATCCTGGCTCTGACCCACATTATTGTAGAAAGTGCCTCTTAACACAAACATTTTTATTCTATTCTTGACTGTAAATCTTTTCATTAAATCCCAGTTACCATTTCCCTTTTATTGATAACTTCAGCTATTTATACTGCTTCAAACTTGTTTTAAAATTAAAAAAAATACAAGTTGGGCAATAGATCCTGCTCATTTGCCATGAACTTAATTCTTGCTCTGTGCGTGTCTGCAAACATTACCTTTCAAGAGTATTGTAAGATGAGTCCACAGTGACAACATTTTTTGTTGTTGATGTTCTGAAATGTTTTTGTTAAGGAAAATCAACTCAAACAAAAACCTGAAGCTGGTGCTGCAGGATAAGGTCCCAGCTTCCCTCTCCCAGTAGCCACAGTTTCGGTGCTCAGCAGAGTGTCCGCTTAGAAGTTAAGAATTTTCCATTACCTCCCTTCCTTTCTCCTTGCCATCTGCAAACAGTTTATTTTTTAAGGAAAAAAAAAGTGAAATTGATTCTGTCTTGAAAGATCTAAACCTAAAATACGGTGCATTCTGAAAGATGACATTCAGCAATTGAATGTAATGTGGCTCAGGGTGAGGTTGTGTGTAGAGGGAATGGCTCCATCATAAGAATTAAGTAAGGACACTCCTAAAATGAAAGATTAATTGTAGGTAACGGTGATATTGAAAAATGGCCCCTCCTATTCTGTTCCCACAGTTAAAATGTCCCTTTACTTATTAGCTCCAATTAGTTTCCATGGTAACCGGCCAGCCCTTGTAAACCCGCACTCTGAGCTACACTCATCTTTGTCTAGACTGAGCTCACCACCCTTCTTCCTCCACAAATGGCAGTTTAGCTGGGTCTATATCTATAACCATATCCCTCATGCACACAGAACCGGCCCCTGAGTGCCCACATCACTTAATTACTGGTGCAATGGTGGCCAAGGGAGGGGCGGTGGCGTTTAGTCCCCGAGCTACAACGTGTGCATCCACCGCCACACTAATTTTTCCCCCTCTTGGTTATTGTTTCTTCCAGTCTTGTTCTATTATCAGCTGTTTGCTGCTTGTAATTTCTTTTCAGGGAAGGCAATACAGTATAATAAAAACCTCATTAAACAGAAACACCTATCAGCTTCGGAGAAAGCCCTAAACTACCCCTTTTTGTTTAAAGAATCATTAAAGTGAAAAAGAAAAACCACTTGTTTGTCATGCTTGAAAAAAAGAAAACAAAGCCAACATAAAGGTTTACCAAGCCAGGGTGCTAATATGAAGATTTAATGTACTTAAGACACTGCGGTTCCTTCCCCCCGCCTTGCGCTGCCAATTGGCCAAGAATCCCAACATGAGCACAGAAAATAAATGATCAGTGAGGCCAAGGGGGGGCGGCTACTCCAGTAACTTGGTGGGAAGAGAGGTCACCCGGACCTGCAGCTCCTGGCAGTCCCAGGGTGGCCTGTGTCACGGGGCTGGGAGCAGGTGCTGTCCCTGAAGTCCCCGGTAGAATCTGATAGAGAGTGGGGTAGGGCCTTCAGCAAAGGCTTGAAATTGTGAGAACTCATAGAGCCATAAGCTCTCATCATGTGTGCTCCTTTTACTTCTTTGGACATAACTCAACTTGAATTCAGTGTTACTTTGAGGCAAACCATCCCTTACTTCTAAGCCAGCTGAGAAGCCAATCTTCTGGGACCCCCATGTGTAATCTTCGTAAGGGTAAGCCAAAATGGTAGCATTAGATTTCTCCTTTTCATGTTACCTCTGCGACCACCGTCTTTCCAGCACCTGTTTTGGTGTATGAATAATGACTGAGGGAATAAGATTCCCCAGTGCTGGTGATGTGTTTTATTCTTAAAATGGTTTCTGAGGTTGGCTTCTCAGGCCCTCTGTAACTCAAGTGTTAAAAGGAAAAAAGTTCTGGGGCACTTGGGTGGCTCAGTCGTTAAGCGTCTGCCTTCGGCTCAGGTCATGATCTCAGGATCCTGGGATCGAGCCCTACATCGGGCTCCCTGCTCAGCGGGGAACCTGCTTCTCCCTCTCCTGCTCCCCCTGCTTGTGTTCCCTCTCTCGCTGTGTCTCTCTCTGTCAAATAAATAAATAAAATCTTTAAAAAAAAAAAAAAGAAAAAAGTTCTGATCACCAAAATTTAATCTGATGGGATATGGGAATCTGTGAAGCCCCTTTTCTTTGGTGGTAACATTCCCTTAGGTTTTTTCCTTTAAAGCAAATGACAAATGCCATCTGAAGTCCCACAATGCTAGCAATATGTATAAGGATTAGCCCATTAATATTCAAATCGTATGAAGTGTCTATAGATGCACAATAAATCTTATAATTTGGAACATCCTGCACTTCTAAATTACTCAGATCTACCCAGCTTCCAGACATCTACTTAATCTTCTTCAACTAAACTTTACTGCCTTTATTCACACTGAACTAAACTAGTCTCAGAAAGAGAGAAGAAATTATTGCTTGTTCAGTGAAGTCACATGTGATGCAACAAGCATCCGACTTGCTCATGTTTTCAATGAGTGCATAGCTATACGGGAATTGACACTGGAACCAGCAGTAGCTTTCATACCGGACAAATGGTTTTATCATGGAAGTGAAGCTCTTTCTGGAAGGCACAAGCCTAAGTATGCTGTAAAGGGGTGTGTAGCTACACTGTAAATAATTCTGGGGAGGGTGAAATGAGGTGCTAAACCATTTAGGACAAAACAGTGACCCTCAAATGGGATAATTTAACGAAATGGAGTGGATTCAATAGAAAATGCAAATAGGATGCAAAAAAATTTTTTCAAAATCTATTTTAAATCCATGTTGGTAGAAACCCATGCTGGTAGAAATCAGTTCTCGTTTGAGCAGATTAATAAGTTTAGGAGACAGAATATTAGGAAGTATGGATATCAAGTGAGAGGAAAATGTGAATTTTAGCAATAAAAGTCTGAAAGTAAGGGTTGAGGATATTTGAGATGGAGTGTATCCTAAACCCAATGAGTCAAATAATCATCTTTTATTTGTAATATGTACATTCCCCAATTAAGGTAAATAGTGTGAAAAAAGGTAGAAAACTAGAAGCAGGGATGAATATCACTTGTGTTCAGAGAAACCGTAGAATTTTGCTTTTGGGAGGAATAATAGACAAAATCCAAGCCCCTTATTTTAAAAGAG